TACCTCAGTAATAAACTTTACTTTTTCCAGAAACAATACACCACCCATCACCTCCCCAAACATTGCCACCAAATGAAGACTACATGTTCAAGTACCCGACTACGTTAAAAATGTATTTCTCACTCAAGCCACCACAGATGGGCCCACATGGAAAGAAAACATGTGGATACAGTACATGGGATGTACTTTAGGGTACAGTTCTCACACACCAGAAACATGGTGATTACATAGGGAAGGAGAAAGTCTGTCCTCTGATCCCAGGAAAGAGATTTAGGTGAAGCTGCCAGGCTTAGCTATAAATAAAATTCAACCTCAAAGAAAATAAAGGGCCATAGAATTAATTTATAAAATATAGTTATATAGTTTTATTTTCATCTGCATAAATCTGAAAGGCGTTAACTTCAAAAGCAACTCAGGTTTATTGATACTGACAACATTCTGCCAAGTTACACCAGAGATACCAGGAAGCTGAAATGTACTCTTGGTTTCTTAGATTGAGTTTCTTCTTAGGCTTTGCATGTTGTAGACTTCACACAGTATTTGTAGAATTACAAACCAGCTATTAGTGGTTTGAATTCTCCACCTCATTTTATTTTCTCCGGTGGCCATTTATTTTCTCTAAATGGTCAACTCAATCTGGCTAAAGAGAAAGTTGAACACTTTCTATGGACACTCTGTCTTCATCACTGCACTGCATATTAGACCAAGGCATAAATCTACAGTCTATAGTCATTCATCCATTTTCATCACCATCAATACCAAATAACAAAATATGAAATATTAGAGTCATAGTAGGTTAGATGTGATGAGCACTTGTGCTTTTCAAACAGTTATTCAGGCACTAGCTCTAGAAAGGCTCATGATATACAGCCAGATTTGTGATTCTTAAAATGTGAACTTACTGAACTGGAGTCTAGGAATTTTTTGGGTCAATATTCTGAGGTCTGAATATATATAAAACATTCTACACAAGTCTTGAAGTTCTGTGTGAATACCTGAGATTTTCCTTCTTGTACATTAGAATTATTTTTATGAAAGCTCAGGTTATGAATGTAAATCAGCGAGCTCTTTGCTCTATTATCTGTAATGGATTTTGTGAATTAAGTAAAATATGTTGGGAAGACTTTTTATTAAGATGATTTACTAAGTTTCTTTCTACTTTCTTACTTTACCATTTTAAAGTTATTGATTTCATTTTTAAATCTTTGCCACACGAGCATGAATAAAAGGAAAAAGCAACATCTTTCATCTTAGAACAGTTATATATTTACATGCTTCTCTTTTGAAATTTGTTCTTTAACAATCTCATAAATGACATAATGAATGATGATTATATTCACCCCACATTGCCATCTTTTACATCTCAGCCCCCAACTCTGGATGACCCACTTTTCCCCAAGAGTTCTTCCTAGTACTTTCATATATTTTGTGTAAAAACCCACTGATTTTCATTAGGGTTGAGCCTGTATGAGCCTGTATGTTACCAGAGGATATGCTACCAAATCCTCCAACAACCACTAACCACCAAAAGCTCCCAGTTAGGGACAGGGCCCCATGAGCCTCTGCACCATCCATAACAGAATGTTGATGGACTCTTGATCTATTAGTCTTCTGCAGGTAAGCACAACTTCTATGTGTTTGTGACTGTAATGACCAAGATGTATCTGATGTTTCACAGCACTGCTCCCCATTCTTTTTACTCCTACAATATTCCCTGAGCCTTGGATAGAGTGCTTGGTTAGGATAATACAGATGTCCCATTTAAGAACATGCATACAATGCCCATAGAGTCTAGAAAAGGGAAGCCTGGAACTGGAGTTACAGATACTTGTGAGACTCCATGTGGGTCATGCAAACAAAATGAAGATCCTCTTCAAAACTAGTAAGTCATTTCTAACTGCTGAGACATCTTTCCAACCACACAGGGGATTTTTTAGTCATCAAAAGTGGGTTGTTTGGTTAAAAAAAATAAAAAGATACATCTGACTGTTTCTTTTGGCACAATAGGTAGTTCTAGCTAGCTTAAACATGATATCTTTCTTAAGCAGTATTTTAATGCATTTAATTCTTAAAATATTTGCCAATTTTTGTTCTCTGATTTGAGAGGTAGTATTATACCTTCAAGCAAAACATTCATTCATATGACATTAAATCTCTTCAGACACACATCAAATGACATACTATAATCATTAGTACTACAAAAATAGCTTTTGTCATATGAAAGAAAAATGTCCACAGGCAATAACTACTTCCAACCCTTAAAATGTGGTTATTGACTGGGATCAGTCAAGACAACACTTTTTGTTCACACAAGGTAGACTGTTGTTATTGGACACATTAAATATCTTTAACTAGATAGGGAAGGATTTCAAGAATTTCTCTGAAATAGAGAAATAGGTGCCTGGAGTCCAATGTTGTTATGAGGTCATGGAACAGAAATCATTTGGAACAGCCTACTTTATTATCTACTTTCCCCCAGAACATATTCTTCATAAAATACATATACTGAAAAAGGCACTGAGTTAAATTTCTTTTTAAAAATATTTGTGTGTGTGTGTGTGTGTGTCTGTGTGTGTGTGTATGAATGTGTGTGTCATCATATGTATATGGTACTCTCAGAGGACAGAAAAGGAAGTCAGAGCTCCTGGAGCTGGAGGTATAAGTGGTCTTCTGTATGAACAGTCAGTACTCTTAATCCCTGAGTAAACTTGTAGGCCTATCAAATTTTAATTTTCTACTGACTGTCTTGAAATGAATTTATTCCCACAAAGATTTTAGTTACAGAATTATGCATATTTAAATAACACAGTCTGGTTCATAGTACCAAAAGATGGAAAGAAACAAAACCAAAATCTGTAAGTGAGAGACTCAAGCCGTCAAAGGAGATGCTCAGAAGCCATCCATCCAAAAAACCAGTAGAAGGCAATGAATCAAGATATTCAATACTTACAGGTACAAACACTGTTTCCCACAGCAACTTCATGAGTTCTGAATCTTGAACAAGGAAGCCATGTTTAAGGTGCTTGAAGTTGCACTGGGGGTAGCTGCCTTGTTTCCATTGTTACTGTACTGGTAGATTGCTCTAAATGTACTAGAATTTGGTCTAGGCCAAGACATATACAAAAGTACATAATCTGGCTCAAAATAAACAATAATTGAAAGTGTCTCCAATAGTAGAAAACAGATAAAAGCAAACAGAACTGCTCTAATAACAGTACATGTACCAGAAAACAACCAAGTGGAAAAATTATTACTCAGTGAAATATAGATTATTCAAACATGTTACTTCAGGGAAAGATAAACAAAAAATAACAAAACAAATGTCAAATCAATAAAAATCGAGTTGTATTTGAAATGAGTCATCTCTAGAAATGAATTTTTGTATATGTTTTCCTAGACAAGCTGTAAGAAATTCTATCTTGATCTTGCTCACAGCATGCTGCATATTCATCTCCTGCAGCAGCATACAATTTGCATAATATAAGACCGCGTTCTGTGCTTTGGAATACCCTTGGGTGAGCTTAGATAAGAAGGATTCTGATGTTACTTTGCAGTTCCCTTTATATGGAGTTTCCAGATTTGCTGGAAAAATAAATTGTCTGTTGTAGAAGGATGAAAAAAATTTTTATAATATATGATATATATATATATATAAAGTCATATGCTATTGATAGATAAATATATGATGATATTATAACTGAATATTATAATTGTTTGCTGGTAATATTGAATAACAACAAACATTGCAAGAATATATATGAAAATGAAAAGCAAACAAAGAAAAAAATGTATTTTAATACATTTACATTTTAATCTGTTGATTTATGCTCAAGGAATAGTGGAAAGAAGCATTTCTGACCAAATCTTTATTTTTAATTTTTTATCTTGCAATGGAATGAGATCTAACTATATTATAGTGCATGATCATAGCATGCCTGATGAAAAATAGTTTAAAGAAGAAATCATCCAGTGGAGGCTATGTAGCAGAAAAACTGGTTAGTTTCTAATAAATATCAGGAAAAAAAAGTAAACTTGTGCTTAGATTTGTATGAGATATATACTTAATTATTGGAAATATTTTCATCAAAATCTATTCATTGTAGTAATTCTCATTAAAACAAATGTAGTTGTTTGTCCTTCTATATTCTCTCATTCAGTATCCATTCTTTCAAACTAGCCACTCAAAAGCATTACAAAAACTTGTGCCTGCACTGAACATATATAGAGACCTTCTTGATGTAATTATTCCATAAGCAATACATAAAACAACTGTCTCCTTATTATTCAAATAATAAAGAATCATCAATAAAACAGATATGGTATACGTGAGGAAATGTAGTCATTACACAAATATTGTACCATTCCATAAAGATGACTTTAACATCCTCAATTTGTAGTATTCACAGCTGGGAAGCCCTGCCTATAGAGACTGAGGGATGACTGTGTCCCTTTCTGTCCCAAAAACTCATATTGTATCCTTTTAAGAAATGCAAGCTTTTGGATTTGAACTGTAAGTGAGATCATATACTGTATTTTAAAATGAAAAAGAATGTCATGGAATAACAGATTATGCCACTGTTTTCTTGTGTATATGTACACATACCATAAAAATATTCAGTTATTAAACTAAGTAAAAATGAATTACTAAAAGAAAATGTGTACAAATCATACTTCTTTTGAAAGTTTCCAAAGCAAGTGCATCTATAAAGAGTAATAGAATGTCATAATATCACTATATTTTTCAATTCTTTTTATAAACTAGGTTGTATTTCAAAATGTGGAAAACACATTTCCAGATGAAAGATTACTATTTTTCCAGATGTGCCCATCACCAAACACTGATGAATAATTAATAAACAGCTTCTACAGTAGCACAATAAGAACCAAATCTCAAAGTCAAAGTGTCAGAATCCATGCATACACATCATTACCTCTTGATACTGCTCTTGCTATTTTACCAATACTGCACTGAGGGCCAATGTCATTAGTGTGTCACTTACTGATGGGTAGAGGTAACCTTCTCCATTCATCGCTATGTACAACCCTGTCTTCACTCCCTGGATAGCAACAACGCGCAGTCCCACTGGGATGAGGTTGAACAGTGCTGTTGAAATAAAGGTGATCAGTCAATGGAGTAAATGGAGAAAAGCATTTCAATAATACTTCCCCTTCTTTTCTTTTATTTAAGAAACATCATAATATTTGTATTTTACAAGGTCAACTAAAGAATTTTATGATGAAAAAGCTTCTGCTATATAGAAAAAAATGAGCATCTCAGATTCAGCTTCCCCATAGAAGGCTTGCTCACAACATTTTGAAGGGTTTGAGGGACAGAACAGAATCAAGCCCGGAATCATGTTTCTATTATCAAAGTCTCTGACGCTACTAGATTCCAGGGGGAAAAGTCATCTATGAATATTCTCAAGGTGCAGAATTTTAAAAGTCCAACTTGAAAGTTGACCATCATTTTCTATACAATGTGACTGGGTATTGTAGTGCAGCATAGGCCAGAAGTTCAGAAGTAATTCCTAAACTAAATTACTTTGGCAGAAGCAAATGAGACGCTAGATAATCCAAAAAAAAAAAAAAAAAAGATGTATACCTGCCCATGGGATAAACTTAAAAGGTGTCAATAAAATTGAATAGCATGTAAATTTTCAAGAAAGACTTTCATTTATTGGCATTGTATAAAACTATAAATAAAAGTGAAATATTCTCAGTTTTATATTTCTGATAAGTTAAAACCCAATTATATTTTTACATTTTCTTCCCTTCTAATAAGGGAATTTAATGTATTTTTTATGAAATGTATACAACAACATCATCTTGGATATTGTTAACCATAATATCTCTGGTACACAAATAATATTTAATGAGGCTTCCATTAATATCCTTAGCGCAAGTGTTATTGACAAGAAAGATATTAATTAATTAACTGCTCTCATTCAACTCATTAACTTGAATTTACTTCTGAGCAACAGGAATAGGCATGGGAAATACTTAGCTCTTAACATAAATGTCTAAGTAAATTGCTTTATCTTTAGGTCTTCAACTCTTTTTAGAAGACATATCAGTTGAAATTGATGGGCAATTTGATTTCATTCTAAGGCTACTCCGTACATAATTAAAAAGTAATCCTGAACTTTTGTTTTGTTTTTCTTCTTCAGGGTCATACTATATATGGTGGAGAAACCTACATTCTTTTTTGCAATAATTACATATTTCTATTCTCCATACCATACCATATCTGCACCTCAAAGAAAAACAGCAGGACCTGGTCTTGATAAATACCCAGAGATTAATTTAGGAGCCTATATGTGGATAGTTGAGTATTATTTTCGCTATGCAAAGTAACACTGAACTGTCTTCCACAGGATTCTAGAAGACATATAGAAAAAAATTTTTAGTCCTTTTAATTTCTGTTATTTAGTATTGAATATGGTATGGGGTCATTGGGACCTAGGCTTTGTTCTGGAAATTCTCTGTTTCTTCTTTGCATATGAAGCTTATGTTTATGTTTATTTTTTATTACTTCCCTAAAATTTGAAAGGATAGACACTGTAGGATAATTCCTAACTTCCATCCAGAATTTTAAGAGAAAATATAATCTTGTGTATGTCTACCTAACCTGACAATATCAAACCTATTTACTTTAATTTGTAAATAAATTACAGATATATCCTGTATATCTGCTTTAAAAAAAAAGTGTTTTAGCTTCTGAATATATCATGTCAACTATATGGTATAATTCCTCAAGGCAAGGGTAATATGAATACACTAAAATAATACATTGTAAGAAGTAGAAAAATTCTAAAATGTAGCCTAAAATAACCATAATAAAAATTAAAATGTCTTTCTTTTCTTGGAATTCTGGCAGGGAAAATGCAAGCAATTGTTTACTAATTAACAATGTAGAGCTGACCATGGAAGAAGAGTAGTCCTAGTTAAGCACACAAATAAATCATTTTTCACTCTCCTCAAATTTTATATAATTACAAAGCAATGAGGCAAAACCTGATGGAATAAAAATTAAAATGTCCCTATGACTGTTTTTCTGTTGTAGAAATCTCTTGTCTACAAATGATATCAACCCTAGCTGTACATGAAACTGGCTGTGTTTATGAAATAAAATTACCATACCCAGCCCTGAGCCAAACAAGTCAGAATCTCTAGGGCTGGGTTAAGAACACAAGAAAAGTTTCTGAAGAGCTCCTCAGATGAGCCTATACTGCAGTTCATGTGAGATCACATTCTAAACCATGGGGGGGAGTTATGTGACAATTTTTGTATATTTCAGACAATCAGATCTAACTATGCATGTGAACTATATATACTTCACACCCTCACACCATGCCAGAAAAAGAAGAAAGCAAAGAAGAAGCTCTTTCCTTCAGGTGTAGCTTCTCTGTTTTTTTTTTCTCTTTGAAAACTTTTGTTATAATTTGTGCAGAGAATAGCACTAAATCTCTAATCTTATGAACGAGGAATTTTATTTATAAGACCGCTAACAACAGTTATTTCCTTTCTTCCCTGTACCTGAATTATTTTTCCTTCTATTTTCCCAATAAAGAGGAATAAATAAATAAATAAATAAATAAAAATAATCTAAGGGTCATTTTAAGCCAAAAATGCAGGACACAATAGAGAGTAAGATTTATTATTTACAAAAAAGAAAATGAAGATTAATAAGAAAATGTATATATAATATTATTTGAAGAGAGTAAAGCAAGTCTTACAAATTACCAATGAAACACACTATTCATAAATATCAGCTCACTTCATAAAGACACTGAAAAATACTAATATTTCACATAAAAGCATCATGTGTAAAACAACTTATTTCATGTCATTAATTGTTCTCAGAATCTGTGCCTGAGAACTTGATGACTGGAACTTAAAAAACAGGAAGGGCTGCTGTTTCCATTAAATGAATCAGGTCTTCCTTTCTATTCATGGAGTATAATCTATTGTAAAGAGAATGATAGCTAGACAGTCATCATTGCTCATGACCTAAGGGTTGTACGTCCTGGAGCTAAATCTATCAAAACCCATTTTGACATTTTTCTGAACTCAGAAAACACAGTAAAAGGTGTGTGTGTGTGTGTGTGTGCATTTATTTGTGTGTTTGTGTTAAAACTAATGTGAAATTAGAGGAAATTAGAGACCAGTATAAGAGAAAACATTTAAATAAGGAGGGTCTCAGATAAATCCTGTGAAAAATGTAACACGTGTAATATAAAAACATAGCAAATAGAAGAGAGATATCAATACTGCAAATGATACATAGATTTTTTTAATGAGCACAGATCCTATTGTATAAGATAATCAAATGTTTTATACAACATGTTTATATATACAGAATCTAGAGATTTCCCTCTATGCAAAAGACATTAACTTTTATGTTAATGCATTAGTGTACTTAACTGTTATAGTCAGGAGATGAACAATGATGTTCTGGACATAACCAGTGTGTGATTAAAAAAAACAAAAACTCAGTTTAACACCACAAGTGCCTCCTTCTATATTAGTACCTTCGTGCATGTGATCTCAATAAAATGATACATACATTCTAGTGGTCAACTAGAACAAAGTCAACAGAACCAAGCATGTAAAAAAGCATCTCACAAAGCTATTTGAGTATCAGACCCGGTTTGTCACTTACTGGAATTGGTGCTGTCATCCTTAGTTCCATCGAGAGCTCCATCGGGGTGCATCTGCAAGTAGTAGCCTTGCCTGCAATATAACCTGGTCACTATGCCCTTGAGCTGGGGATCTGAAAGGCAAACACAGAGGTAATCAGCTTCATAAGGCTGCAAGGAAGAGTTGGGTTATTGCTTTTCTTTTAAAATCTTTTATGTTTCTTTTTCAGAAGAAGACATTTTGTAGAGAGTACACATTTCTATCTCCCAGACTTGTCTGGGTCATGATATCTAGACTACACAAACCACCACAATTAAATCAGGCATAATAATAAGCTTCAGAAAATAGGGCATTTCAGGAAACTAGCATGTGTGTTTACATTGTTCAGTAGACTGTTAAACTAATTAAATCACTAGTTTAATTATGACTTTAACCTCTAATTATTATAAACCAATTCTTTCATTCAGGGTGGCAATTCAAGAGTTTTGCAAAGGAGTGACTCAGAAACTTCATTAAAGGAGTGACTCAGAAACTTCATTAAAGGAGTTTAAGTGGAGTTTTCATTTTATTTAAATTGACAACCTTTAAGTATGAGAAAACTGTACTTTAAAACAATATGTTAAAATGTGATGTACATCTTTACAAAAATTCCCAGTTTAGACAACTCCCTCCCTACCACCTTTCATGGATGGATTTGTGATGTTTATTAGTGACACACACAAGAATCAGACATTCCACTTCTGAACTCAAAGTGAGGCCTAGGATAAAAGGACACAGAAGATTGGGCTTGGCTCAGTGCGGTAATGGGTACCTTGCATGTGCAGCACCTAGTACTGCTGAAACAAAAGAAAATAAAACAAAACAGCAAAACATAACAATACATTAATCTACATAGGAGTCAGCTCTAAGACAATGTCCTAGTTAAGTTGTAAATGAAACAAGCAAGCTCTTCATTTATATAACTGGAAAGGATAGCCAAGTTACATACATGATATACACATGTATAAATGAATGTATGTGATATATATGATGTACATGTATATATATGTGTGTGTGTGCATGTGTGTATGTGTGTATATGTGTGTGTGTGTGTATCTATGTATGTATCATTTGATTTTTAACATCAGGCATGGAAGTAAAGGGAGATAGGCATTTATTATAGCAGAAGGAGAAGTTATGTATTGTGGTCTTCTCACTTAATGACTTGGAGAAAATGTAGCTACCTAGTAATTCAGTGTTTCCTTTGAAGCTAACTGTATTTAAGAAAATAAATATTTCCATGTAGCCTTGCAAAGGTCATCCTCATTTGGGGAGCATATCTAATATGAGGCATCATAACTCTTACCATGGTAACAGGCTTCTCTCCACAGCAGCTAAATGGAACATGAAAATTTGTTTGTGCTGTCCAAATTATAGGATGCAATGAACAATCCAGCACATAGTCTTTAATAACTACAGACTAGCCAACAGGCAAACAGAAACAGCAAACATGACAAACAGGCAGATTTGCCCCCAACAGAACAGCTCTAGGATTTTGATTAGCTTTTAAGAAATGAAAAAAAAATCAATCCCAGTCATTGTTTTTACACATACAGCTGCACTGAGCACATTTACTGCATAGATGGGATGATGAACTGGACACAAATAACATTCTGGAAAGCGAGCTAACAGTGAGGTATTATAACATCATTGTAACAAGCATGTCAGAAGACAGGTGTGTTTAAAATGCTGATTGTAAAAAAGAGATATCTAAGTGATAATTGAAGCTGTATTTTATATGTACCTGTTTGGTTTTGGACCCTGGGAGAAGGGACTAAGGTGTATGTTTTACATATCAAAGCAGACTTGGCCTCCAGGTTCTCCCAGCTTCTCTCAGTTCCTACCTGGCCCCTACCCTGAACTTCCTAGTCCAGGGACTGGGCTGCCATTCCCTCAGAGGCTCTTCCCTGTATAATCTAGACAGTTTTATTACCCCCTTCTCTCTTTCTCTCTTCTCCTTCTCTGCACATGCTCATTCTCTTTTTCTCTTTCCCCTCCCATTTCTCTCCCTTCTCATGACAACTCCCCTGGCCTAAATCCTTGGGGGCAGTGAACTTACCCAAGAGCAGTTCCCAATCAACCTGCGTTTCATGTAATCTAATCTGGCTTGAATTGGTTTTTATCACCGGCCAAGAAATAACTTATCAATATCGTCTTTTATAACAAATAATTTTGAAATCTCGTAATCCCATAATTAATTAATGAATTAATTCCATAATTCTGTTTTGTCTTTTTTATTCTTTTGTTCTGTCAAAGCACCCAGCCCATGGGATGATATGGCTTACATTCAAAGTACATGTTCCCTTGCAGTTATTTTCTGAAAATTCCCACACAGATATAACTAGAAACAGGACCCACCAGTTTCCTAGATAAGTCAGTCCAGCCAGGTTGAAAATTAAGATTAACTGTTGCTTGAGTATCAATTGCCATGTTGTTACTGTTGTTTGATTTATTAGGCTTTTTTTGATTATGGAAAATAGTTGTTTTTTCCATACAATATATTCTGATCATGTTTTCACTTTCCCAACTCCTTCCAAAATTCCATACTTCTGAGATGAACATTTCTTTTTTTAAAAAAAAAATATATCCTCACATTCATCTGTTCAACATGCCCTGTACACTGCAGTCCTGTACCTGGTATTGGCTACATTTTTTATGCTCTTCTCTGTACATTGGTAGCAAGAAAAATAATGTAAGTAAACCAGGTATGATGATGCCACATGCCTTTAATCCCAGCACTCAGGAGGCAGAAGCAGGTAGTTCTCCATGAGTTCAAGTTCAGCCTGGTCTACATAGTGAGTTCCAGGATAACCATAGCTACATAGTGAGATCTTGTCTCAGAAACAAACAGACATACAGCTAAAAGGATAGAAGAATTTATTAGTGCCTGTGAACATATACGGAGCATTTTACAGTTTAGCAACTGTTCTGTAAAACCCTGTGTGTTCTGTTGTGCTTATTTTAAAATAGCCCCACATTCTAGCCACTAATTCTTCCAGAGTTTATTTTACTAGATCAGCCAGGGCAAGAGGATCCTGTAGCCTAGCACACAGTTTCTCTTATACTCACACGTAAGTATTCAACATTGAGCCCTTATGAACCCCATATTTCATCCCTATTGTGGGAATAACAATAAAACAAAAAATTATATTTTCTAGTGTCCATCTAGTAATAAAAAGCAATCTAATTTGAATGTACTTGTTTACACAGAACTTGATATTTTTATTTTTATAAAACTGATAACTACGTATGTCTTTGGATATCAGACATTGTTCTAAAAAAACCTTGATTTATTCATTAAATCTTCACTATGAGCCTACTTCAGAGGAACCCAAATCAAAGATGATGGAATTGAGAAAGAGAACAATAAAATAATTTTACAAAGGGCACAGAATTTACAAGACTGGAGATTGAGTATGAACTCTCAGCCTCCCCTCTTAACCGCCAGGCCATGTGGCCTCTACAAATGAAACAATTAAACTAAATTGCCTGATAGACCTAAAATAAAATGCAAATAGAACTGTTTAATAAAAAAGGAAGCAAACAGAAGCGCTATCATTTCTATGATCACACCTAGCTGTGTCTCAACCAGCACACTCACAAGCAAACGAGAAAGGCAAAACCAGGATGGAATCGTGGGATTATCAAAGTGATTTAAAGTTTCCATACCACTCTGTAGCTAGACAAGTTTTTAAGTTTCTAGTTTCTGTCTCACCCTCTGCCCCCATGAACCCCTCACCAGTTTTGTAAAGGCAGCACCACACTTCTAAAGCTCCACCCATACCATTTTCCCTGTAATTTGCCCATCTTCAACTTCAGCCAAATGGAATTTCTACTCATGACTTGACTGTCATGTGACCAGCATCCACCTCCACACCATCAAGTTGTTTTCATAGTCCACATATTGAGCTGTCTGCCTTCAAAGAAAGCTTCTTCACTGCCTAATGCTCTTCTCCTATCAACTCATCAGTGTGGGGTTTCTCATGTGTTCTCAGTAAATACAGTGTCAACTAAACCATCTCTTGAGTATTTCATCATTATTTTTTAAACATAGAAAATACTCACTTTTGAGCTTTAAAATCCATTAAAATATACAGAAACAATTCAAGCCACATCTATGTACCCAACAGTACCTAAAACAGATGCTAATAATTTGTCTTATAATTTATGACTATAAATACATATTTATTGGTAAAAGTGTACAATAATATTTACCTCACAAAGTTCACATAAAGTGACATAAAGTTGAAGTATGTGACATTGTTCATGATCTTTGCAGTTACTGTTGATTAGATACAGACAAGGGGCTAGTGAAGCATACAGCAATTTTATATATAGCTGACAGGAGTGAAACTTGAACAGTGTGAAAATCCACAGTGACAATGGCTAGCAAATCTTTACATGGTACTTCACAGATCACTCATGTAGTTATGCTTTCCAGACCTCTAACTTTAAGATAAAATCTGGTACAGATTTTTGTACAAAGCATATATTCTTAAAAAGGAATGTGGCAAAATACAACTTACCATCTATTAGGAAAAAATTATAGAAAAGAAAATACACCAAAATAATTAATATATTGAATTTTGAAAGTATTTATCAACATTTTTATTTTTTTGCTAAATTTTGTAGAATGTAGGTATGCCAATTTTATAATGGACATCTAGAGATTGTGATAAAATTTATTAATGGCTGATGAATAATGAGTAAGAATAATGTCATACACAGTCACAATTAAAATTATAATCATATATACCAAAAACATAAGTACTATTTCTGTGTGCTAACTGGTCCAAGTCTTTAAAGGAAGCATTTGTCACTTGATTTTCTGAAGATCCTGATGCAGAGAATGTTCCTTATGACACTTTGTTCTTTTTATTACATGTAAAATCATCTATTGTTGATATGGCCACTTAAAGTTTAATATCCATCTTCGAAAACAATCATAAAAAGAAAAAATGTAACTTTTCCTCTAAGACCAAAATATACCTGGATGATCATAGGAAGACAAAAAGAGATGAAGAGAAGAGCCTTGTCAGTCACATGCTGTGAAATAAAGAGAACTGAGCTCCTAGACTGACTAGGAGAATGAAC